CAAGGTGCTTAATAAACGCTCATTGACTGATTACTGATCATCTAGTCTGACCCGCTTATTTTACATAGGAGGAAACTGGGGTGATGCTAGACATCCCCTCCAATTTATTCTGTCTCTATCTTCTTTGTACCTAGTTCGCACATCATCTCCCCTATCTGACTGTGAGCTCCTAGAGGGCTGAGACCATTGCTATTGCCTTTCTTCGTGTCTCAGAAAGTGATTAATGAATTTGTGCTGTCTTGACCTGAGAAAGGAAGCCACAGTCCCAGGCCAAACTGGGACTTAAATCCAATGAGAGAAGTTTTGGATTACAAGAAACCTCATGCCGGGCAACCCTCATTCAGTAAACCATGATAGAGCTCCCGCCCAGTGCCCGACAAATATAAGTTGTCTTTATTACTAATTACTAGAGGAGGCAGGCCATAATGAGGGCAAAGGGAAGGACCAAAGTCCCTTTCAAGTTGAGTGAGATGCTTTCTGTACCCGCCTCCAAAGGACTTTGTCTCCTCTCCTTTGCCCTTATCAAGCCTCACCTTCTGTAATAACACCAATAACTGACATTTCTCTCGTGTCTTAAGGTTTTTAAAGCGTATTGTCAATCTGAGTCTCTCACCATCTCTTAAGAGGCAGAGTTGATCACTTTTCAGACAAATAAAGTCAGATCTAAACCATCGCAAAAACATCAATTGCTCATGGGTAGGCTGGGCCAATATAATAAAAATGACAATTCTACCTAATTTACTTATTCAGTGCCATACCAATCAAACTACCAAAGAATTATTTTATAGAGCTAGAAAAAGTAACTAAATTCATCTGGAAGGACAAAAGGTCAAGAATATCAAGGGAATCAATTTTTAAAAATGTGAATGAAGATGGCCTAGCAGCACCAGATCTCAAACTATATTACATGGCAGTAATCATCAAAACAATCTGGTACTGGCTAAGAAAATAGAATGGGGGGCTGCTAGGTGGCACAGTGGATAGAGCATGGGCACTGAAGTCAGGAGGACCTGAGTTCAAATCCTGCCTTAGACCAAAGACTTGACACTTATTAGCTGTGTGACCCTGGGCAAGTCACTTAACCCCAATTGCCTAAAAAAAAAAAATAGAATGGCACACCAATGGAATAGATTAGGTATACAATACACAGTAGTAAATGATTCCCAAAAATCCAACCTTTTGGGACAAGAACTCACCATTTGACAAAACTACTGAGAAAACTAAAAAGCAGTTTAGCAGAAACTAGGTATAAACCAACATCTTATACCATATACCAAGATAAGGTCAAAATGGGTACATAATTTAGATATAAAGGGTGATACCACGGGCAAATTAGGGAAGCATGGAATAGTTTACTTGTCAGATCTATGGACAAGGGAAGAATTTATGACCGAACAAAAGAGAGAGAGAATTACAAGATGCAAAATGGATACTTTTGATTATAATGAATTAAAAAATTGTTCCCCCCCACACACAGGGCAGCTCGGTGGTGTAGTGGATAGAGCACTGACCCTGGAGTCAAGAGGACCTGAGCTCAAATCCAGCCTCAGACATATAACACTCACTAGCTGTGTGGCTCTGGGCTAGTCACTTAACCCCAATTGCCTCACATTAAAAAAAAAAAAAAGTTTTTGCACAAACAAAACCAATGCAACCAAGATTAGAAGGAAAGCAAAAAGTTGGGGAAAATTTTTTACAAGTGTCTCTGATGAAGGCCTCATTTCTGAAATATATAGAGAACTGAGTCAAATTAATAAGAGTACAAGTCATTGCCCAATTGATAAATGGTCAAAAGATGTGAACAGGCAGTTTTTAGACAAAGTAATTAAAGCTATCTATTTTGTTTTTCTTATGTTCCCAACTGGGTGCGGGGGTTGAGGGTGAGAAGGTGGATCTTAGCTGATTAAAACGAATAAAATATTTTTATTTAAAAAAAGAGAAAAAAGAGTAGATAAAAGGTTACCCTCTATCCTTCTAGTGCCTGATTAGTGTAGTTGAAGGCTACAGATAATCTTTGAGGTCTTCAGATCTTTACCAAAGAGGAGAAAGGAGGGAGAGGGAGGGCATCGGGGTAGGCTTCCTGGATGTGGCATTTGGACTTTTGGAGAACAGGTAGGGATTCAGCAAGCAGAGTTGAGAAGAGAGGGCATTCCAGGCCCAGGGCAGATAGAATGATGGAGGGCCAAGGCAAGTGAACTAGCACAGGGTGCCGCCTGGTCCATCTGGTCAGAGTACAGATGGCACCGAAGAGAATCACAAGAGACAAGACTAGCACAGTATGTGAAGCAGCCTGGTCTCGTGACTGGCCCCCTTGCAGCTTACTCCCTCAGGGGGCAGATGAGGAAACAGATCTGGAGAGAGGACCTTGTCTGCCCAATCTCTCACTCGTATTGCAGCTTATACCTGCACTCAGGTCCTTCTCCAATACCTCTCAGGATGCAGAATTGAGTCCTCGCTCTTGAAGGCTAGCAAAACAGCATCATCTGGCCAGAAGTCTCAAGTCTTCCATCTCAAAGGGCTTTAAGCATGGTCCTGGAAGTGAGATCATCTCCCAAGTATCTGCTGAGCTGAGTTTGGAGATGCATAGCCTAGAAGGTTGGCTGCCAGATGACTAATTGTTTTTGGCCACACCAACTCTTGAAACCAACCACTGTGGTGGAGAAGGATTGTAGTCACCGTCACTGAAAAGAGCCTGGACACTGATTTAGTAGTGGAAATTCTTTGTTTGTTTGTTTGTTTTAGGCCATTGGGGTTAAGTGACTTGCCCAGGGTCATACCCTAGTGTGAAGTGTTTGGTCTGAGGCTGGATTTGAACTCAGGTCCTCCTGACTCCATGGCTGGAGCTCTATCCACTTGTTCACCTAGCTGCCCCAGTAGTGGAAATTCTTAAGCATAGAAAGACTCCAGCATTATGGACTAGAAGGGGCCAGAAGAACCTTATGGGGCAAAGGAATGGCAAAACCCTTCCAAATTTAGGCCGAGTATTTGGGCATTCTCAAAAGAAAAGCAACATAGGAAAAACATCAGACTTTCTCCTGCATCCCTCCCAAGGTTTCAGGCAACTCTAGAAGGCCAGAAACAACCAGAGTTGTCAAACTGTATCAGCAGAAGATGGCTCTGCTACAGGAATTGGTACATGCTGCCATCCTAGGTCTGGACCAAAGGCCTGAGGGGAAGCTAGAATAAGCAAGTCAAGTTTTGGAAAATGAATGTCAGAGAAAATGCTTTGTAAACCTTAAGGTATTATATAATATATTTAAACTATTACTGAAGGGACCTCAAAGGCCACTCCTGTTCAGAAGCAACCCTTACGTGAACAGGTATCTAGCCCATGAACATCGCCAACCACTTATCCTCTGATTGCAGGCTTCAAGTGACCACAAACTCACCCTTTCACAGAATCATAGACTCTCTTGAGTTGGAACGGAACCTAGCAGCTATAGAGCCCACTCCCTTCCAGGACAGACCATCCCCTCTATGGCAGGAATGGACATGCAGCCTCTGTCTGAAGACTCCACAGAAAAGGAACCCGCCACCTCTGGGAGGCAGTGAGTTCCACTTTAGGAAGGCTCCTATCATAAGGAAGTTCTTCCTTAAAATCAAGCCTGAATTTGCCCCATCTCCTGCGGTTCCGATGTGGGACAGCTGGGTCCCTCAGGAAGTTTTCCTTAGATGCAGCCACAGGCCCTGCCTCTTCATAGGTTCCCCAGGGTCAAGTTCAGTGCTCTGGTATCTAATCTTGGCTCCAAATGCCTGGTTGCAGGGTTTCTCTTGGTGACAGTCAGAAGAGGTCACCTGGGTGGGTTTTCTCCCATAGTCCTTAGTCCCAAGTTCATAGTCTCAGAGATCAGAAGCTGGAAGAGACCTTAGAGGTCATCTAATCCAACCCTCCATTTTACAAGGAGGAACCTGAGGTCTAGGGAGACTAAGTGACTTGCCCAAGGTCAGAGTATTATTAAACTCATAGATTTGGAGATGGAAGGAATTTTAAAAGACCATCTAGTCCAGGGGTGGGGAACCTTTGGCCTCGAGGCCACTTGTGGCCTTCTAGGTCCTCAAGTGCGGTCCTTTGACTGAATTCAAACTTCACAGAACAAACCTCCTTAATAAAAAGATTTGTTCTGTGAAGTTTGGATTCAGTCAAAGGGCAGAAGTTTCCTCACGCCCGACCTAGTCCAACATTCCCACTTTTACAGACCAGGAAACCAAGATGAAAAAAAAAGGAAAGAGATTTATTTGCTCAAAATCATATACAGGTAGGAAGCAGTAGGTAGTGACAGGATTCTAACCCAGGTCCTCTGATTCCAAGTCTAGTGCTCCTTAAAGCCAGGCCATCAGTGAGCATTAATTAAGCCCTACTAGAGGGATCTGCTTCCCCGGTTCGGCCCCAAACCCCTAGGCTCCCTGCCCCCAAACACAGAAAAGCTGTCTCGCTGCTGCTGAGACTACGTCTCACTGGCACGCAGGCTCCAAACCTCCGAGGAATTAATTGCACCAAGCTACGAGGTGAAATCGCGAATGGAGAACTCTGCAGAACTCTGGGAGCAGAACCCAGACACCCTCGGAATTCCAGCCGCAAAGGAACAAAGCTCTGGGACATTTCCACCCCTTAGCCGCCTCCGCCGCCGCCCCCTCCACCTCTGGCAGCTAGACAGCCCAGCATACACCGGGGGGGAGGGGGGAGGGAGAGAAGGGAAAGACTGGCAGAGTGTTTTGGTCTGGGGGGGGTTTAAGCCCAACACTTTGGTTCTGCCTCCCCCAGCGCCCGCGAGGGAAAAGGAGAGGGGCCGAGCTCAAGTGAGAGACTTGCTGAAGTTGGGAAGATCAGCTTTAGACGTGAAAGTGACCTTAGAGGTCATTTAACCCAGTCCCCTCATTTGACAAAGGAAGAAACTGAGGCCGGAGAGGCTGTGTCGTCTTCCTCCCGGTGCCCCAGCTGCAGCCACAAGCCCCCTCCTCCCGCCCTTCAGGACGTCCTCACACCCCGACATGGTCCCTACCCGCCGGAGCTGGTTCCCAATGTTCTGCATTGTCTCTGCTGGGCTGCCCTGTGCTCGCAGATCGTAGGTAGGACCGTTAGACTGCGAGCTCGGGTAACTGACCCTCTTCAGTGATATTCCCGTCACCTGAGTGGCGGTCCCGGCTCCGAGCTTTAAATGAAGCCGTCCTCTCCACTCCACCCCCCCCCCGACCCTTCTTCCTTCAGCTTCTCTCAACCCCTTCACTCCCAGTGCCATCCTCCTCCTCCCCCCGCCCCCAACGAAAACGGACTGTCCTGAGCGCCCTCCCTGTCCGGGATTAGCCCCTTCTCCACCCCCTCAGCTCCCTCTTCTGGCCTCGTTCCAGTGGGGTCGCCCAGACCCGCCGAACCGGGGAAGAGCCAAACTTCTGCCCAGTCCGGCGTGGAACCACGTGGCAGCGCCGCCAGCTGGGCACAGTGGCTGGACACCGGGCACGTCTGGCCGAGGGCAGCCCGAATGGAAGCATTCCCCCCACCAGGGGTCGGGCCGCTGCCGGCTGAAGTAGCCAGCAGCCCGGAACGGGAGGGGGACAGAGGGACGGGCGCCGGACCCACCTGTCAGTCCCCTTCACCCGAGAGCGCTCCAGCTCTCGGGGGGCCCCTAGGCAGCTTCCAGCCAACTGGCTCCCAGACAGGGACCAACCCCCTCACTTCCTGAGAAAAGGAAACTCAACTTTTCTTAAGGTGGCACCTCGGAAATCCATCCAGCCGCACCGTATTAGACAGTCATGGGCCCCTGGCACTACCTCTGCCTTTCTGCTGCCCTCCCCACACCCAGACTTTCTGCAGGGGGGCAGAGGAATTCAAGAGCTGCTTGAATGACCTAGGGAAGAGAAGATTTTAGAGGGGAGAGGAGGACTTATTAACTCTTCAAGTATCTGAAGAGGCCTTCAGGTTCAATTACTTCCCCTAGGTTCCAGGGAGCAGGACAGAGAGGAGAGGGGTGGGCAATGGGGGCACCGCTGATGTAGGAAAGTCTTTCCTAACAATGAGAGCTGTACCAGGGTGGGGCAGGCTGCCCCAGGAGATGGCGTACTCCTCCACATCCAGGTGATCTCCAAGCAAAAGCTGGGGGACGCTTTTGGGGGAGGGAAACATTGAAGGGAGGATTCTTTTGTAGATTTGGATTGGACAAGCTGGTCTCTGAGGACCCTTTTTCTATCTTTGAGATTTTCTGAGTAGTTCATCCTTCACCCAGCTGACAACTGGATGGCCAGACTAGGGCTAGCACCCAGAGGAGAGACCACACAAACTTTAAGAGAGTGGGAAGGGGGGGTGAAGTTCTCTGCCCTGTAAAACATCGGAATTTCTATTGGAGATCAGACCAATGAAGGTCTAGTTCACTCAACAGGAAGCCCAGCCCCTAGGCTCAGAGCCAGCCTAGGGCAGGAGAGAGAACACTTGACTTCACATCAATCAACTGCTGGGTCCCTTGTGACCTTAGTGGAGAGAGCAGTGAGAAGGATTTATGAAAATATCCCAAGGCAGGACCTGTTCCATCTTGGTCTTTGTATGGCTAGTGCTTAACACTGGGCCTGGCACATAGTAGGTGCTTAATAAATGCTTGGTGATTAACTAATATCACAGGACTATGAGAAAGTTGATGGGAACATAAAGACAAAAACAAGAGTCCCTGCCCTCAAGGAACTTACATTATGGGGAAGGGGGGTAAAAACATGCAACACGTCCACAAAAACTCACAAAATAATTACAAAGTAATTTTTCAGAGTAGAGAGCTAGCATCTGGGCTTGATCTAGATGAACTTCCTGTAAGAGATGGCCGTTGAACTGAGCTTTGAAGGAAACCAGGTATTCTAAGCAACAGAGATAAGAAGAGAGGGCATATGGAGAGCGGGAGGCAATTGTGCAAAGGTATGGAGTTGGGAAATATGTATGAGAAAAGCAATTTAAGTGGTTTGGCTAGAATGTAGAGTTCATGAAAGGTTGTAATGGGTGGTAAGCTGGAAAGGCATGTTTGGACAAAGTCAGATTGACTGTCATCAAAAGACAAACAGAATTTTACATTTTATTCTGAAGGCAATAGAGACCAGTGACACTCCCAAATTTATAGGGAGCCCAGAGTACACCCAACTGCCTGGGGCCTCAGCTGAGCTGTCCTGGCTGATCTCTCTAAAAATATTTGTGCAGCAGAGAAGCCATTTGGAATTCTGGGAAGAAACTGCTAGGCATATACCTCAAAGGAGGTCAATGACAAAAAGAAAGGTCCTATACACAGTAAAATATTTACAGCAGCCTTTTAGTAGTAGGAAAAACATGGAAACAAAGTAGATGCCCAACATCTATTCTAGGGGATGGCTGGACAAGCTGTTGTACAAGAATGTAACAGGATATATTGTTCTGTAAGAAACAATAACTATGAGGGCACAGAGAGGCATGGGAAGACTTGTCTGAACTGATGCATTGTGAAGTGAGCAGAACAAGGAAGAAATATACACAATGAAAATGAAAAGAACAATGAAACTGGATGTTGTGAAATTGGCCTCAAAGAAGAAAAAAATGAGAAGGCCCCTCCCCTGCTGCTTTGTGGAAGTGGGGAGAGAATGGGGGACCACTGTGACTGTGGATATAATATGAGACTTTTCCAATCTGTTGGCTGGTTGTATTTTTCCACCTTTTTAAAAAATCTTCATTCTAGGGGATGGCTTTCTCTCTGAAAAGCACTGGGAAATGTAAATAATGTAAAAACAAAAGAAATACATTAAATTTTATTTTTTAAACATATATTTGTTCATTGTCTGAGTGGATTTCTACCCTGACCAGGCTTCCAGGAATTCCTCAGTTTCCTGTAAGCCCACTCCATATCCATTTCTTGGCGTCACTGAATTTTGTAGCTGCAAGCAATCGTAGAAGGGTATGAGGTGGGGAGGGAGTAGATTTGTTCACTAGGGCCTCAGGAGGTAAGGCCAGGGCCCATGGGGGAGAGTTGGGAGGGAGCCCAAGGAGAAAGATTCTAGGAAGCCAATTTGGGCTCATCATTTTAACAATAACTGGCACTTCTCTGGTGCCCAGATGTTAGAAAAACACTTTACAATTATCTCATGTGAGCCCCAAAGCAACCCAACAAAGGAGGTACCACAGTTGTGATGATACCCATTTTATAGGGGAGGAAACTGAGACTTACGTGTGACCAGACATCGCGCAAGTAACAGAGGCCGAATGTGAACCAGGGCTTCTTAACTGTTGGAATTGTCCAAGAATGGAGGGCAGCTAGGTGGCGCCACAGTGAGCAGAGCGCTGGACCTGGAGTCAGGAAAACTCATGTTTCTGAGTTCAAATTTGACTTCAGACATTTACCGACTATGTGACCTTGGACAAGTCACTTCACCCTGTTTGCCTCAGTTTTCTCATCTGTAAAATGAACTGGGGAAAAAAAATGGCAAACCACTCCAGTCTCTTTGCCAAGAAAACCCCCAAATGGGGTGACAAAGAGTCAGACACAATGGAAAAACAACAAAGAATGGAGTGGGTATTCTGAAAAGGTGGAGAGTTCCCTGTCAGTGGATATCTTCAATGGGAGGCTGTTTAAATAGTTGTCAAGACTGCCATCGAGGGGTCTCCAGGGAGCAGGACAGAGAGCAAAGGGGTGGGCAGTGAGGGCACCGCTGATGTAGGAAAGTCTTTCCTAACAATGAGAGCTGTACCAGGGTGGGGCGGGCTGCCCCAGGAGATGACATGCTCCTCCACATCCAGGTGATCTCCAAGCAAAAGCTAAGGCTTCTTCTGGTGCTAACGTCTACAGCCTTCATCCTCATTCCCACGACCCACTTTCACCCAACCAAATAACTGATTTTCCTTTATGCTCCACTTAGACAAAACCATCCATATCTTTCAGTTTTCCAACCTCTAAAATCCACTCTCTGGGGCTAGTAGGGCTGAAATGAGACAGAATTTGGGAGATAGCCTTGAGCAGGGCGTGGTTCTATGACCACTAGACATTCTCTTTTTGTAGCCATTTCATTTTCAAAATATTTTTGAATACCCTCTCTGCTTCTCAGGGCCAATATGGACATCTTGGTAAACTGAAAAACCTTGTATAGATGAGAGTGGGAAATAAACTTTGATTAAGCACCTACTATGTGTCAGGCCCTGTGCTGAGCTTTACAAACAGTATCTCATTTAATCTTCCTGACAACACTATGATGTGGGTGCTATTATTATCCTCATTTTACAGTTGAAGAAATTAAAGCAGATAGATGTTAAGTGACTTGCCCAGGGTCATACAGCTAATAAATATCTGAGGCTGAATTTGAACTCAAGTCTTCTTGACTGTAGTCCCAGAGCTCTCTTCACTGTGCCTCCTGGCTGCCAGTGAAGGTGGCAGGGACATAACCAGGGCAGCAGGAACAGGGCTTTGAGCCAGAGCACCAAAATGCTGAGGGGCAGTCCAATATCCTCCAACCACCCCTGGGCTGTAGCCACTTCCCTCACCCTCCCAGCATCCCAGAATCAAGGAAGATGAATGTGGCCCAGAAGGCTCTCTCTCCTCCTCATCTGGCTTCCCCAGCTTCCTTCAAGTCTCAGCTAAAATCCCACCTTCTACAAGGAGTCTTTTCTGGTCCTGTTTAGTGCTAGTGCCTTCTCTGTGTTGGTTACCTCCAATGAATCCTGTATTTATTTTGTTTGTACATAGAGGAGCGCATGTTGTCTCACCCCTTAGACTGTGAGCTCTCGGAAATCAGAGGTTACTTCTGCCTTTCTTTGTACTGCCAGCGCTTAACACAGTGTCTGGCACATAGTAGGCACTTTTTGCCTCCTTGTTGACCTGGACAATAGCACCACCTCTTCCCCCACTAGCTCACCCCACTCCCTACCTGCTTCATCGCCCACCTCTCCTTCCTCACTGGGCTCAGAAGGTTTAGATGTCAAGTAGGGGCACAGGCCAATCTCTAGGCAACAGGATGCCCTCACCCAGCACCCCTGCATCCCAAGGGATTCCAGTGAAAGCTGTCCATAGAGTAATGAATGAAAACTGCTCCAATTTCTAGGTTGGCATCTCAAGAAATTCCCACACCAGGCAAATGGCTCCTTGAATCATAGGTTTAGGGCTGGCCTGGCCCCATCCGTCCCCCTCACCCAGGAGTGGGCAAAAATTGCCTTGTCTTTAT